TTGTAGTTTTTTTTAAAGGTCTGTTTTTTCTCATTTATAAGTTTGTTTAAACTTGAATTTAGCCACACATTTTAATTTTGTTCTTTTATACTTGTTACCCAGTGGAATACAGTGACTAATTCATCTTTAAAAAGATTCCCAGTTGTCTAGTGTGTTCTTATTTGTAAGTAGTGTGGTGCAGTAGGGATTTCAGCTTATTGAAGTTACCTTTTTGAAATTTAGAGTTCTTGTCATACCAACATTCCTCTTTCCTATAATCTATGGCAAATTTGATTGCACCATAAGCGTTATTATCCATGATGTCTCTAAATTACACATCTGTAATGAGCTCCATGTTGTTTGAATTTATTAGATCCAACAGAGCAATTTTCCTTGTTGGTATTTCCACAATCTGTTCCATGAAATAGTCCTACAATATGTTTAAAAATGACAAGCTTCTGATAATTGTACAGTTCCATTTGCCTAATCGTATATCAGGATAATTACAATCACAGATAATATCACCCTGCTTCCAAGCAATTGGGCTGTCAAACACAGCTGATCGTTCAGTTCTCCCTGCCGCCCTGAGCAGAGAGCTTTGATTGTCAGTCATTGCCGTCAAGGCAGGAGCAGCTGGCTCAGGCTCTAACCGGCTCGCTGAGAGGCTGAGCCAGGTGGCGGTCCAGGCTCCTGGGTGGATCCCGACCATATGGTCACGATTTTTTCCCAGCCTGGACAAGCTGAGTGACCTCAGCCGATAACGCACTTTAGTCCACTGTTAGCTGAAAATGGGTCACAGGAGTGCAGTACTAACTAACAAGCTTTGGCGGTAATTCTCCTTTAAAGCAGACCTTCACCGTAAAGCTCATACCATGTTAACCTGCCTCCTTCCCCCTCCCTATATTACAACTGGACACTAATTTTCAATCTTTTTTAAGTAAGTCATTTATTAGTGCTGCAAGGCAGCATTTTTTTAGTGCATGTGCTGCAGGGCTTCAGGTCCCAAGAGAGCCCTGTGCCATATCTGCTCATGAGTTGGTATATGTGTAGTGCTTCTGGCATATGCACAAAGACCGCTATCAAGGAAGTCCCAAATCTTCCCCATCTTTGTGCATGCATTGAAAATTTCCCATACGTATAGATGTGCAGGTTCTGCAGAGCCCATCTGCACAGCTGCACATACCCCATAATGACAGTGCCTAAGCAATCTGAAATGCTAGCTTACGTTTCTCTTTAATAAAGGACTGGTAAGCTGCAATAAATAAAAAATATATTCTGGGATTTAAATACACTCAATGACATCCTGCTCTCCACAGTATGTTTTTGGTCAGTACCAAACTGCAGATAGACTGAATGTAAACTAAGAAATTTTACACTTTTCCTGAGCTTGTGATAGCAAACATGGGATAGATGGTTACAGGTTACCTTTCCAAGGTTACTTGTTGCCTTTGGTCTTAATAAAGTAGCTAAAGCCCAGCCACAGCACCACTTCCCTGGAGTTTGCTTGTTCTCCCTGTGTCTGTGTAGGTTTCCTCTAGGTACTCCAGTTTCTTCTGACACTCCAAAGACATGCTGGTAGGTTCATTGGATCCTGTCTAAATTGGCCTTAGTATGTGTATGTATGAATGTAAGTTAGGGACCTTAGATTGTACGCCCCTTGAGGGTTAGAGACTGATGTGAATGTAAAATATGTATGTAAAAGTGCCGCGTAAATTGATGGTGCTATATAAGCACTTGTAATTAAAAATAATAAAGCATTTTAAAAATACAGTTAACATTTAAAGATACATCTTTGAAACAATATACATTTTAAATACCAAAACAGCACAAATTAATACAAAAACAACACAACAGAGAACGTTAAAAAACAAAGATAAATACATTTATCACTGTTCAAAAACATGGGTGTTCCAAGGGCAATCTCCAAATCCTAGAACTGCCTCTGCAAATTAGGAGCAGTGGCATTGATTAGTTACAATTAGCAAATAGCATGTTCATCTATAGTGATGCCTTCTTTTATGTAGCAACAAAAAGTGCAGGTAGCCTTTCATTGCTTCCCATTCATCGCTTTCCTTGTACTTTCTACCAGCTAATCAAGGCATTTTTGCCAGAATAGGAGGAGGAACAATGTCTTCAGGGCAACAAGCTTAGCACTAATCTGTCAGCAATGCAAGCAATATACCCATCTGGTAAGTACACTTCCTTCATGGAAAGGCAACAGTCCTCAGCGTTGTCACATTAGATAAGCAGGCGTAAAAGGGGCTCATATTTTTTCTTTTCTTTTCTTTTTATTATGTATAAATATCAGACAACATCAAATTAAACATGTATGTATACATGCAACAGTCAGTAAAAATATATATGTCTATTTGCTATTTACTTGCATTTCTCTGTCTTTAAAATAACACAGTTCGATCTGATCTTCTTTAAGGTGAAACTCCAACCCAAACCTTTTAAACAAAGCTTGACAGGCCTAGAACCTCAGATTTCTGTTGCTGGCTGGGTGGACATACAAAGTCTTGGCTGGAATTCCAGTTTAATAAGATAACATGATATTTAGAGACATTTACTAAATAAATATCTAATTTTAATAGTGTATATATTTACAAGTAAAACAGATCCCATGGGAGTCCTAGGGCAATTTTTAATGGCCCACTACCACAGTAATGTGATCATGTCTTGTATGAGTCACTTGATGTTAAGAACAAAATAATGTCTGCAAATAGTAGTTGCATGGGCAAAACAAGCTTGTGATTCCTATTACTACTCTCTCTATACTTATTAACTTGCAGGGATAACTAGATGCATCTCCAGCAGTGATGCTCAGACAATTAGCCCTCATGCACACCTGAGCTCAATAATGCTGTTTTTATAGGGGTTTGAGCTATTTTTCCTCTGCTTCTAAATGCCTCTCCATGTTAACCTATGGAGGAGATGTATTAAAACAGGAGCGTGCAAAATTTGGTGCAGCTCTGCATAGAAATCAATCAGCTTCTAGGTTTTATTGTCAGAAGTTAATTGAACAAGCTGACGTTAGAAGCTAATTGGCTACCATGCACAGATACCCCAGATTCAGAGTGCTCCAGTTTTATCTTCCACTGTGTCCATGCACACAATAGGCATTTACAGGAGTTTTAAAGGCAGGGGCGTTTAGAAGCAGAACCCCCACAAAAGTCGTGTTCAGAAGAGAAGCTTTTGAGCATTAAAAATGTCAGATGTGCTTAAACGCATCTGAAAGCACCTAAGCACCTTTCATTTCAATGGCCAGAATAAACTAAAATTCAGGCCAATTAAATAAATGAACGCCCAAGAACTTGATGTGCCTAAATATGGCTTAGTCATGTTTTTTAAGCTGCTTTTCTCCTGCCATGAAAAAAGCATTAATGTGCATGAAGCCTTAAAGTGCAACTAAAAGTCTCATATGACAGTCTAAACATGTGCCAGATCTAGTTACTCCGTAATACAAAGTCTTGTAAAGTAAATGGAAACCTTTCTTCAAATCCTCCATTTCTGTCTCCGACACACCCCCTCGCAGACACTGCAGCTCACAATGGGTGAATGTTGGCAACAGAGGCAATGCTGTCAATCCAGAAAAGCAGTGGGCAGGGCTAGGACTGGTCAGGTTATGATCAACAAGCTGCTGGCTTGTCAAAAAGCAGTGACAATGTCTGATAACAACCCCTGCGCAATGTATTCATCCCATTGTAGTGCAAGCCAGCACTGCCTACATGGTAGTGGCACCTCTGCTCTGAATGTAGGAGCAATGAAGCATCATTGCCACATCATCACAGGAAGCCACATTAGGTGGACTTCACTGGCAGGATCAAGAGGTATTTCTGGGACTTTTCGGAATTTGTAAGAGAAATCTGTAAGTGAAGATGCACATAAAGTTTTATGTTACCGCACATGTTTTTTTTTTAAGGAGAGGCCATAATTCTACTTTATACCTTCATTGCAGAGCACACTCTGCATAGACAGTGCTTAGACTGAGAATCTCTTCCCAGCCCTTTGAGCTTTATTGCAGCTTTCCCGTCTCCCCCCTTCCTAGAGATCTGACAATCTATTTTCTATTGTTCTATTGAAATGTACATATACTGGAAATATTTTCTGGTCTGCTTTGGATATATAAATGCTGCAATGAAAACTTGCATACATTTTATTAAAATTGAAGTTATGGCATTAGCTACAGCTAGGTAATAAGATACCTGTAATGATGTGTGCTCTAGTGGTAGCTGCTGTTTTTTTTTCGTGAATGATGTTACTTACTTGCAGCCGCTGATGGTGATGTAACCTCTGAAGTTCTGGTGGTGAAACTGACAGTTGGGCCTGGAGTACAGCAATCACAGCAGGTCGCTTGTCTTGTATTCTTTTTCAAGAATACAAGGCATTCTGTGATATCTGAGATTGTTCACATAGCTCCCAACTGTTCCCGAGTTCGAGGGAATGTCCTTAATTTCGAGGGACTGTCCCTCATTTGGAACAAAGTCTCTCTGTCCCTCCTTCCTCCTCATTTGTCCCTCATTTGGTCTAATCTATGTAGTTGTATATAAAAGGCACCATTTAGCTTTCAAAAAGTGTTAGTGTTAAACCTTTCATCAAATTTCTAAATTGCTGCATTTTTAAATTTCAAAAGCCAATATAAAGGAAAGAAAAAAGCACCAATCATTTTTTTGTATAATTCTCTGTTAAGGGGGGGGGGGGGGGGTGTCCTTTTGCATATGTACTTTTGCTAATAGGCGTCCCTTGTTCCCATCTCAGAAAATTTAATTCATACTCCCCTTGCCCAATCACAGAAAGCCTTGTATCCTTTGAAAAGAATAGACAATGTTTTCTGAATGGAGGAGCTGCACAGCAAGCAACCCAGTTTGATCGCTGTGCTCAAGCCCTGACAGTTTCAGTGCCAGAACTTAATAAAGGTTTTGCCCACACTTCAGCTTTAAACTTATTCCTAATAATATAAGAATGTTTGAAAAAGCTTGTAGAATTTCTGAGACTTCACATCCATTTCATGCAACTGTAGGCTATTGCTCAGAATCATTAGATGTTGGCTGTAAGTGAGTTGCACTTTCCTGATCATTGATATGGTGACGATTCCTACAGTCACACTGTGATGGAGTCAGTTTTTGCGTATATCTTTTCAGACAGCATTTTGAAAAGTATTTGAAGATGAGGTACATCAGCTCACTGATATTAAGTATAATACACAGTCCTGAAGTAAGTACTACAAAATAGAGGAAAATCTTTTTCTCTGTAGGTTTGGAGATGTAACAGTCAACAAGATTGGGGCAAGGTTCCATATCACACTTCACCAACCGTGGAACACTAAACCCACCATATAATTTATAGAAAAGCATCAGGAAACCAAACTCAAACACTGTTTTAAATAAAAGGCTGATGACATATGTACACCATAAGCCGCCATCCATGCTTCCTGGGTTCTCATATAGCTTCTTGTTGTGCCTCTTCTCTCTGCTTTCCCGATATGCCACATGGAGGACCACAAGAAGTGAGGGTGTAGACACCATTATTAGCTGAAGAGCCCACAGTCTGACTTGTGAGATGGGGAAGAAATGATCGAAGCAGACATTTTCACACCCTGGCTGTCGGATGTTACATTCAAACTCCTTTTGCTCATCTTTCCAAACATTTTCTGCAGCAACCACATACACCAGAAGCCGGAATATGAAGACAACTGACAGCCAGATCCTTCCAATGCCAGTTGAGTATTTGTTGACACCGCTTAAAATGTCTCTTAAAAAAGACCAGCTCATGTCTTTGCACGGACAATGTCTGTAAAATGAAAGAGAAATATCATTGACAGAAATCCTCAAATCCTCTTTATTCTGAGTTTTTTTTTTTTAAGGGATAGCTGTACTTTTAGCATAGGTATTTTAAATGATCTCCCTTCCCAGCAACCCCTCAGAATTCAATACTTACCTATCCAGACACCTCCAAGATCTTTGGTGGTCTGCTGGGTAAAGCTCAGTCACTATTGCACATGTCTCTCTGCAGTCTTCCACCTCAAGGAGTCTCCTTACCTCCAAGAAGTCTTCTTCCACTCATTGAAGAATCTCAATTAATACCAACGAACAGGGCATCTATCATTGGATTGCATGATAGATGTACTCTCCATAGAAATGAATAAAGATTCTTCTGCATATGAACAGAAAAACGTCTGCAGCAGGGTATCAATTGGCCTCAAAGTGGGGATCTTGCAGTAGTGTAAACAGATACCCTATAGCAGCCAATCAAATTTTAGTGAGCTGGAGTAGGATCAGCTAAAATGTCTTTGATTTCTGTTTCTATGGGTTACTACACTAAGTAGTATTACTGCTTTGTTCTGCTATATTAAAATAGCCACCCAGCTGGTTTTTATTTTTACTGGGGACAGAAGTCTGGAAGGATTGTATCACAAAGCAGCCAAAAAAGAGAGCTAACTGGGATTGTCAGCCTGATATTTCCTGGGACCTACTGCTGTTCAGTTAGGTATGGGACTGCAGTGGTGTTTGCAGGGACCCAGTTGAGTTGGAAAGGGCTTACTAGGAAAACTGCACTGTTAAGCTAGGAATAGGTGATATCCTCAAAATAATGGTGCCATTAAACATGCATTTGCAAGGGCACTACTAAATAAGGGTTGGGAACCTGGACTTTCCCAGGGTAAAAGGACATTTTATAGAGGCTGTGGTGCTGAAGATCACAAGTATAGGATATATATTGTATATTTTCAGAACATTGTTTACTTAACTTTTTACTAAAAACAGCAGGAATAGGTATATATATCAAAAGTTTTAGTTTTGCCACTTTGGAGTCAACTAGGAAAGCGAAATTGTAGCGTTCTTTAAAAATAAAGAAAACAACACAAAAATATAAAAAAAAAATCCCACACCTGCTAAAATAACTTAAAAAAAGAGTACTTTTTTTCAAGCACATTTGAAAGCTTCTTCAAAAATTTTTGATAGCAAAATCAGTATTTTGCAGCAAAATCAGTTTCTCCCGTATCACTCTGCTAATAGCTGATAACCGTAAATACAAAGAAGGCGGCTTAAATATTCATCATTTAGTTACCTTCCTCTTCTGCATTTTTTATATTTTATTTCTGTTTTTGACTGTGCTGCCTATTAGGTCAGAAAAATCAGCTATTTTGTACAGCATAATAAGCTGCATTTAAAAATATGAGCTCTTAGAGAGGAGCTGAAAATGACTGGAAGAATGAATTCAATCATTCAGCATTTGTTTTAAATTCTATGGTAATAATGCATTTCTCAGATTACTGACCTATAATTTGTACTTTACATGGCTGTTATCTTTGCTGTTCCTTGGTTGCCGCTACCCAGTCTGCATGGAGTGTAGATTAACTAGTTTTTTACAGTCATGTACGTAAAGCCTAGATTCACATTTTTGCAACCTGTGTTCTACATGTAGGCAGCCAATTCATTTCAGTGGGCTGCCCTACCTGCAGAAACACAAGGGAAAAACATTCTTGGCCTTTTTTTTAAAAAAAACTCTCTGCATTGAGCCAAATAGTGCTGAGACACCATAACACGTTGTGATTGCTGAAGTGTTGCACATCTGCCAAAAAGCAGTGCATTTGCCTGCATGTTCCTAATCTGCAAAAATGTCAACCTAGCCTATTAGTATTTTTAATGATAAATTTCTCTCATGTACAGTTATTTGTTTTTTGTGTTTTTTTACCCTTCTCATTAGAAGCAAGCTGTTTCTTGGTTTTCTATGTGTTAATTGTACAAAATGTAGTAGGAGTTAAGAATTGTAACATACTCCTGTACAGCATACATTTATTTAGAAGCTATATTGTATGCGACCTTATGGCATATGTTTTTAAATTCTTTTATGGTCCATTTCAAGGAAGTATACAAGAATATTCAAACTGGTACCTTGCAAAAATGAAATAACACATCTGTACTGTTTTCTGCCATCACCATAAATGCTTCTTTTGCCTTGTGGTTTATTTGTGTGTAAGGTTTATTCCGCCCTGGTTCACACTGATGCTGTGCAGAATTCGCAGCGTTTTCAGTGCAAATTCTGCACTGCATCAAAATCTCACCCTGTTCATGCGAACCACTGCGGGTGTGTATGTTATTACCATGAAAGCGGTCTGAAAAACACGGTGAGATGTGCAGAATCGGATCGCATAGGTGTGAATACCTGTGCGTTCCGATTCTAGTGCAGACCCAAAAAAGGTTCCTGCACGTTTTTGGTGTGGGTGCTTTGCGATTAGAGCCATACCAAATGTATGGCTCTAATTGCACCGCACACAAATCGAATGTGATTTGCACAGGAATGCAGTGCGGTTCCTGTGCGAATCACATACGATCTACCGCACCACACATATGTCAACCCAGGCTCAAGATGACAAAATAAAGAGCAATTATCATATGCATAGTACAGGAATGAACAATCGCTGTTCAGATTTCAGAAATTCAAATAAAATATTATATATATTATTATTATACAGTATTTATATAGCGCCAACAGTTTGCTCAGCGCTGTACATTATAATGGGAGACAGTACAGTAACAATACAATACACGAGGGGCTTGAGGGCCCTGCTCCTTGGAACTTGCAATCTGGGGGGGGGGGGGGGGGGGGGAGTGGTACAGGAGGAAATAGCTGTGGGGGATGGAGTGGTGGGAAGAGCGGAGGAGATCGGCAATTAGGTGAGGGCGGGGTAGGCTTCTCTGAAGAGATGGGTTTTCAGGGTGCGCTTAAAGGTGAGGAGGGTAGGTGACAGTATATATAAAACACTACTATGAGTCTCTGCATTTTCCTTATGAAATAACCCCGTAAGTACCCTGTACATAAACATGTATTTAATTAGGCAGTGAACAATATAAAATAAACAAGTAAGCCATAACACCTGATCAGAGTTCATTTGTTACTGATCTGACTATAGCAAACTGAAATTTGGTATCCATGATTTGCGGCAGTTCGCCTATCATCATTGCTCCTTCCGCTACTTCTGAATAAGCCCAGTAATACTTGAACACTGTCAAGCTTCACTTGCATGTGTACTAAGAAACCCAGAGGAAGTAAAAAAAAAGTATGCTTGATATAAAAAAACAACTGAAAAAACCATGGCATTTAAGACCATATAGCAAATAAAAAGAATGACAATATTAAAACTGATCTGATGGTTTGAAAACTTATCCAGTCTTCAACTTTGATAAGGTGTAGATAAAGAAAATGTAGTGCTACACATTTGTCTAAAGTAAATAAGCCTGGTAATACAAAACAGTAATGGCTCATCTGTAAAAAAAATTATGCTCATCAGTCCTCATTCCCTATACAGTAAAAGCTTGATAAGGCAAGTAATATATAACACATCACTTACAGAAAATTAACATGCCAGTGGGTACATCTTACGGCATGCAACAGAATCCTACATTTTTAGGTACATTCTGTATCCTATCATATTCTATTACATAAAAAATGTCTACAAAAAGCCAATTAAGGCTCAGTAATTGCACCTACCTGTAGGGTGACTGAAGACGTAAAGCTTACAGCATCTAGATGCTGCATTAAAAATTCATTCTAACGCCAGTTCCTCTGCTCAGCCTTCCTTGTGCGTGTTACAGAGCAACCAGTAACTAAGGCGAGTCAAACAAGTGTAACCTGATCATTTGTTTTGTGTATTAGTCAGAAAGAGAACACCTCTGTTTAGTATGAAAGCATTAAAGAAAGGAGGCTGGATGATCATCACCAATATCCTAGCTTGCATGTTTACTGTATAAATAAAAGCTCTGCGCTCAAACTTAGTTCATGCATACAGCAATATATATTTATAGCACACATGCCATGGCATCAAAATTCACAAAATATACAGATTTATCAAAGGCGGTGTGATGGTTTAAACACCCAGTGGGTAGGTCATTCACTTAAAAAAAAAAAAATAAAGTTTTGATGTTACTTTTACTTTAGTTTTGGATATAATTATAATAAAATATATAATAAAAGATATAAAATAGTCTAAAACAGTCTTGAGAAGATGTAGAGCACTGTGTTATAGATTTCTAGAGTATGCTGTAGTTTGCAGTGTGACAGAATCAGAGCGCAGTCAGTATCGAGATAATACTGAGCCTTTGTATGTTTTGGCTCCAAGTAACATGAAAACATTTTTGGGACCAATACTGTTTAAATTATTTTGGGAACTCCATACAACCCTAATAAAGTGTACGTAAACCCAAAATCCATGCCTTATTGTATACAGTTTTCTTAAACAAATCATTTTTTTTTTTTATCTGGTCCAAAGTTTATTACATGGAGTTTTCATATAACGAGGATTTTAGGTTTAAATTCTCATCTGCAGTGCAGCAAATGTTATTTTAAATTGGGGTTCTGCAAACTTTCTAAACAAAGGGCCAGTTTACTGTCCATCAGACTTTAGTCACTGGGAGGAATAGTGCCCCATTGTTGCTGTCAGTGGGAGAAATAGTACCCCATAGTTGATGTCAGTGGGAGGAATAGTGCCCCATTGTTGGTGTCAGTGAGAGGAATAGGTTCTTGCATCAGTAGAAGGAAAAGTACCCCAAGGGCCAGATAAAGGCTGCATCCGGCCCCATGGGCCACAGTTTTGAGACCACTGTCTGTATTCATTGGATCAAGTTCAGAGGGTCCCTGTAAAAATCAACAATGAACCATTGTCACAAACAATGATTATTCACTTAAAAACTGTAAAAGTTTAAAAGTGCCTAATACTGGTGAATGTAACATTGTCTGTATTGTATGTGGAAAATATTACAGACATCTATATATA